GTTCTTTAGTTCTCATGTGATGAAAGTGTATCAAATCAAGAAAAGAATCATCGGTGACTATTCGTAAGGAAGAGTTTTTGAAAAAGTTGTGCATTACTTTTTTGTACTGTTTCTATTGAATATACTGCATTCCCCGAAATTGTAGCAGCCACATGTCACAGTATCCCCTATTATTCCTTTCAGATTTCCACCAAAATGGCCATCGTCATTCCGCTCCACCTAATCGATCCTGGGGGTGCGCCTGTACAACAAAAGAAGGATTCTCGTTTACCGTAGATATATATGAGACAGTCACTGGCGGGAAATAAAGAACAGAGATCTCTGTTTTTAATACATGAGCATTCAGAACGATGACAACATTCGTAGCGCATAAATTCACCTCCGTGAGGAATGAGATCATAAATTTTACATACCGGTGCAGTTCAGAGAAGTAGAACATTTTAAATCCGCACCGTCGAGAAATGATGAAGGAATAATTTCAGTTATAAAGGAGGTTATAGGTTAGATCGTCACCGAAAATGAATTGTTTCTGTATTAATCTTGATACAATCGGGTTAGGTGAGATGCAAAGTGACGGTAACCTAACCTAACCTAACCTAACCTAACCTTAGGAAAAGTGGCTATGTTCACATTGTTCTACATTGTAATGGAACTTTCCAACATATACTACATACACCACAATGTAGAGGATTTGACAGTTCCAGATTTCTCCATAAAATAAGCCAAAATTAGGAATTAACTTTGGTTTATCGGACTAGACCCAAAAAATGCTCATTAATGAACAAAAAAGGCAATTATTATTTGAAATTCCGAAACATGAAACAAAACAAATATTTGTGAAATGAAAAACTATGTTGATAGATGTGGTAATGATGTAGCTTGTTGATAATAATTTGCAAACAAGTGAATGCATAATAGTTTTAGCACCTACCATAGGTTAAAACGTTTCAGTTTTACTTTTTCATTCATAATTGGAAGTGAATGACGTATTAGGATTTTCCTTCCGTACTTATCAATATAGTGTTTAGTAATAAGGCCGCAAACATAGTTATGCGTTTATGCATTCCATCGGATAATCCTCTGCATTCAGTTGATTTTGTACTGAAACAATAATAGTATTTCTAAGTGAACAGTAACGACTTTTTTTCAAGAGACAAAAATAACAGTGTCTAGAACTTGGCTAAGACTTTTCAAAATACTTTAGTGACTCTTCTGCAGTATCACAGTGTTAATCATAAGTATTCTTGGTGAATCTTGGTAATGGTTAGTGAAAGCGGTAAATGATTAGGTCTGATACATGATATTGACAGAACAAAAACTACAACTATAGTGGAAATATAATAGTTCGAAACATCATCCATTAACTTATATAAACTGTGACAGCATTCTTCAAAAAGCAATACATATAGCGACATATAGAATTTAACTGGGTTTGAAAAAACTTTTTCTGGCAGCGCTTCGGAAAAAATCACAGACGGTTTCTCTAATTGAATAGAATATGAAAATACGTATTGAAACTAATTTATACAGTTTATCGTTTGTTTGAAGGTGGTTGACAATGTTTCGTGGTGTATTTCATCAGTTCGGTCTTCCATTGTCTAATATAATATGAATTGATTTGAAATCCCTGAAAAAAAAATTAACCCAAAATAACAATTTCATTAAAACAAAAAACTGAAAATTACATGAAAATAACATACAAGCTACAACCAGGGAATAAAAAATTGAAATATTGATAAGAGCTGAAAATTAAAAAATATTATTATCAAAAATGAAAAATCCAGTGTTCCTCTTTGTGGATGATTTCAGCTTGAGTCCATTTGATATTATGTTGATGAGTCCAAACATGCTCTGCTATTCCGGATTTGCTGGTTTCTCCTCGCTGTGTGTGTTTCTTGTGCTCGGCAACGGGAACTGTCAATGGCCTCTTAGTTTCACCGATGTATGATTCTCCGCACTTGCAGGGTATCCGGTAAAAGCAATTCTTGGAATCGCAGTCCGCGTTGGGTGGCCTGATTTTCGTGAGGCTGCTACGGATAGTGTTCCCAGATCTGAAGCAGGTTCTGATGTTATTCTTGCATCCAATCCTTCCTATCCTTTCCGATAATCCTCTGATGTAGGGAAGTACAAGTACTGGTTGTGGCGGCTTCTCTTCCTTGTGGAGCTCTTGGTGTCTTCTAGCTTGAGCCTGTTTCACCATCAATTTGGAGTAGTCATTCCGTTGAAGGTCATTTTTGATGATGCCTTCTTCCTTTTTGAGACCTTTCTTTGTATTACAGAGCCCAATGTCACGGTCAAGTAGAGTCTTGATGATTCCTCTCTCAGTTGATTGATGGTGGTTGGATTCCTGGTTCATATAATGTCCTGTGTGAGTGGGTTTTTGATATACAGATGTTTCACATTTAGTGTCGGTCCTTTTCACCAACACGTCTAAGAAAGGCAATTCGTTGTGGACTTCCTTCTCCATTGTGACAGTGATGGAAGGACTTACGTTGTTGATGTGCTTCGAGAAGGTGCCTAGTTCTTCATTTCCATGGTTCCATATTATGAAGGTGTCATCCATCCACGTATCTCAAACAGACTCGGGGCTTCTTGTGGGCTTCTTCAATGGGCAGAGTTTCAAACCACTCCATATATATGTTGGCTATGACTGGTGAAAGTGGCGATCCCATTGGCAGTCCCTCATCTTGCGTAAAGAATTCGTCCTTCAGTTGGAAGTAACAGTTTCGTACACAACATCCTAGTAATTTCATGTAACTCCAAATAAACTTATTATTCATTATGTATTCAATGAAAATATCACATCTATTTTGGAAGTTTTTATAAATATATGAAACTTCACATATTTTTTTTTCATTACACCCAATTGATTGAACTGTGCGCGCCAAGAATCAAGCGACTTCAACAATCTGTGACGAAGATATTTTTTGCAAAGTCCACTAATTTTTCACTTCATGGTTCTGCTATATTCATGCTACCAAAGACTCCAAGATCTTTTTGACAATATAGAAAAAAAAGATGGTCAATTATTTTTCTTGGGTGTCTTAGACAACAAATCCTGCTGGCAATCAGATTGAAATAAATTCATTTTTGTGTGAACACCTAACCATTTTTTTGAAAAAAAAATTACGAAATTGAATATACTGCATTCCCCGAAATTGCAGCAGTCACATGCCACAGTATCCCCTATTATTTCATTCAGATTTTCACCAAAATGGCCATCGTCATTCCGCTCCACCTGATCCGTCCTGGGGGTGCGCCTGTACAGCAAAAGAAGGATTCTCGTTTACCGTAGATATATATGAGACAGCCACTGGCGGGAAATAAAGAACAGAGGTCTCTGTTTTTAATACATGAGCATTCAGAACGATGACAACATTCGTAGCGCATAAATTCACCTCCGTGAGGAATGGGATCATAAATTTTACATACCGGTGCAGTTCAGAGAAGTAGAACGTTTTGAATCCGCACCGTCGAGAAATGATGCAGGAATAATTTCAGTTATAAAGGAGGTTATAGGTTAGATCGTCACCGAAAATGAATTGTTTCTGTATTAATCTTGATACAATCGGGTTAGGTGAGATGCAAAGTGACGGTAACCTNATATTTCGATTTTTTATTTTCTGGTTGTAGCTTGTATGTTATTTCCTAGTGATTTTCAGTTTTTTGTTTTAATAAAATTGTTATTTTTGGTTAATTTTTTATATTTTTTCAGAGATTTCTAATCAATTCATATTATATTAGACAATGGAAGTCAGAACTGATGAAATAATACAGTTTATTGTATGATTTTTCACTGTACAGGGTTTAACAAAAACGTGTTTCGCTACACTATAGCTTCCTAAAGCAAAAACTAAAAGTTACTTCCAAAGTACAACCATTTCATACTCTAACCTATTACCTACTCGTTCGCCTAATTAATGAATCTACCTGGATAGGGCAGGTATGAATTCATTAACTATATAAATATTTTTTTTCGAAAGTACCGTAAATATACTCAAGTATCTTTACCTGGAAATAAAGAGATTCAATTATGGTGAATTATTCAATTCAGTTCGATCGTTCGTAAGATATTGAGAGTTTTTGAATTTGTTCATTTACATACTCTCCAACAGGTTAAGTTTCGAACCTTTCTACTGGAAATGTAGGGGATTGAATTCATGGTTGATTAAATGAGTGAGATTTAATGAGTGGCATATGTGGAATTTATTTCTCCATTCTGGAAACTATTTTTGTGTTCCTTGATGCGGGCTTTGAACATTCTTCCAGTTTGACTCATATAAAACATCGGACATGTCCCACAAAATAATTTATGGACTCGTGATTTTTTTGAAACCGAACTTTTATCTTTGTTATTCTTAATGTGCATGCCTGAGTTGTTGGTTTTAAAAGCAATATTTTCACCTTTGTTGTACAGAAAATTTCAAATATTCATAGCGAGTTGGCCTGAGCAGGTTAAGGTTCTGTAACATTCATCCTCATCTCTCCGAATTGGGTAAACTTCCTTCAAAGCGTGGCTGTATAACTTTTTTGATAATAAAGAATGTATTAGACTGCTATCGTAATCATTGTTGACGGCTATTTGTTTTATTATGTTCAGTTTTTTATTGAAATTCGCCTCTCACAAGGGCACATTCATAAGTCTGTGGAGCATACTGTTGAAAGCTGCTACTTTGTGCTGATACAGGTGGGTGGACTAATTAAGAATGATAATATCTGTATGTGCCGGTTTACGATAAATTGAAAAATCATGTTTGTTGTTAACCTTTGTTATTGTCAAATTTATAGAGTCGTCCTTTTCCATCTCCATTGTGAATGTGATAGATTGTTTCCCTGTCAAAAACAACTGATCCACAAAATATGAATAACCTTTCCCCTGTGCAGTCGTTAAACTTCAGACGGGTCATTATCTTAATGACTTCCGAATATTATATATTTGTCAGTCTGGTTTTCGACCGAATCTCAGTTAGGATAGTAACAAATTGTGTGTTTGGTTTTGATAGATTATTTCAAGGCATTTGACACAATCAGTTATCAGCACCTCTTGGTATTATCGAAGAATATACTTATTGTTTGGATAACATGAAAAATTACCTAGTCAGTAGTTTACAGTGTGTAATAACAAGTAATACGATTTTGTTGTTGTGATGGTGCCTTCCAAAGATCTATTATAGTACCTATTTTAATCATGATTTACGAGTTTCGTTCCAAAAATGGGGTGAGTTTTGATTTTTCTCAAAAAATATTCATTTGTTCATCAATTTCTATTTTGTTCCCTGCAAAATAGTCCCCTTCAGGTATAATAATAACGAATCAGTTCTGATAAGCACTTTTTGGTGTGTCCTTGAGATCTCTCGGCTATTCGATTTCCATCTCCTCTTCTTTTATTTTCATTTGTTTAAGGAAAATATCAATATCAATTCACCAATTGTTGATAATTTCTACTTTTCAGCAAACACAAAAACGTCAATTGAAAAGTAAAGTGAGTTTTTCAAAGCAGATGCTTCATAATCTTCACTTGGTTTTCGTCTTTGTGTAAATAAACAGAAACGAGCTACTCAATAATTTACGAGTTTATTATTTATTGATTATTAGTCAACCCGATGTAGCGTCACATTATGCTTGTGATGGAAAATGTTGACCTTCTTATCAGGTGAGATAAAGTATTGAGTAATTGTATTAATGCAATATCAGAGATACATGTTTGACCTTTCTGGCTAGTTTTACGTTATTCCATATTATCGAAAGTAAGACCACAACACCTCAAAATCAATAATTTGGTATTTAGCAATACCTTGCCTTCCAAGTCAAACTTTTTTACCTACCAGATGAATACATGAAAAATAATCCGTAATCAATAAAATGTTATCATGATTATCTAGTTAATTATGCATCAGTTAATCAACAACATAATTGGTAAATAACAAATTTTAAAAGGTCTCAGGTCCTGTTTGAAAAATAAAAAATATTGTTACTATTCAATTTTACACCCACGATTTACTCAGTCAGGTTCGAAATTGAAAAACATCATTGATCATCTTATAACTTTTCAACCGACGTATATTTATCAATAACATAAGCTTATTAATTTCACTTTAGATCAATTATATTATGAATTATGATGTTTTTTAAAATTTGAACGATGTCGAAAAGTTTTTGAGATACTTGCAAAAAACCAAACCCAGTTTTTTTAGTCAACTGTCTTGGTGGTGAGGAACGTCGTCAACGTTACATATTCACATCAGGCTTGTCTATCAAGGACAGTTGAGTCCTACAACGCATTCGTTTTGATTTAAAACAATATAAAAAAACAAACATTTAAAAAAAAACCTATTTTTAGTATTGATTGACGCCACAATTTCACAATCATCCACTGAAAAACACGCCCGATTTGTGGGTTGATCAGAGGTTATTTCAATGACTCGTTCAATTGAAATTAGTCTTGACCTTTGAATGACATTTGCGAAATTGCTAAGATAAAATATCGTTAATCTTCTTTAGCGATACCAACAAATCGTTTCGTTCAATTAAAAACTCATCGCTTTTTGATTCGTGACTGTGGTTGAGAAAGCTCGTCAAAATGAGAGTTCTGGTAAGTTGAGAGGAGATTGTTATTTGGCTTCCTTTTTGCAAATAATAGAACGCAGTTTTTCTGTTACTGGTGTATTTTTTTGGCCCATCAGAATATTTTCAATGGAATTTTTCTGTTTTATGGTTTTATATGCATTATAACTACAAGAAATTAAAATATTTACGAATGTTTAATTACACAAATTCCAAATACACAGTGTCACCCATAAAATGTGCCTATTGTGGTAATTTACTTTCACTTTCATAAGTGAAATAATATCTTCCATAACTGGTCAGTGTATATGTACATAATATCATTATTGAATGTGATGAAACTATCAGTTGGTTGTAGCATTTACCATTCATACAACCTCAATAACTAACTAACAACTTCTACATCATGCTATTATATTCTAAACATCCAAATTTTGAAGACTATTATCTTACATCCACTCAAATTTGTCATCATTCACTAGATCTCACGAAATACACGATTACCGCACTAGACAAAACCATGAAATTCATCTTAGAAAATGTAATCTTACGGAATACAAAAAATCGCCAAGATATGCCGGAGCAATGGCTTTCAACCACTTTCCAGGAAAAATTGAAGATATTCCCGATCACAAAAAGTTTAAAAACAATTAAAGACATTTTTATTAAAGACATTTTTATTCACCAAGTGAATTTTTAAATCATAAAGAAAAGTAAGTTATGTTTTTCTTTTTATATTACTTTCACTGTATTTTTATATGTTTCTACAATTATCTTATCTACAAAGAAAGAAAGAAAAGAATAAAAAACCTGAGAGCTTAGAATGTCATCCACTTCCTAATTGAAATAGAAATATAAAACAAATTTTTATTTGAATTGAGAGGATTATATTTTCAGGAGGGATCAACTTTTGGAAAAAAAAGGGTTTTGGCTCTCTGCTTCTCCATCTTCATACAAAAATATTTTACTTCATCCATAATATTCATACACAAAGTAAATAATAATACTCACTCTTCATAAAGAATATATCAGACTAGTCAAAATTGTGAGACGCGTATTAACTAACACATTAAAACATTTAGATATTTGAAATATAAAACGTGATAGGAATCACACGTTTAAAGGTGAGACTGCATTTCCTCAAGTTATACCATTTTGCGTATATCAATAATAACTTGTTTTTCTCAGTCTACGTACATACGATTCCCATTTTTTTTACTTTTCTATGTTTGTATGTCGTTGGTTCTTATGTTTCATCCGGCGTCCTTTATAATCTTCGAAGCAGTTATGATAAGAACTTTTTGATATTTCCTTGAGCTCTTTCTGCGATTTGGTTTCAATCTCCTTCTTTACGTGGGTCTCCTTAACCTTGGGAACAGAAAAAATTAAAGGGAGTGAAATCTGGCGAATACGGTGGCTGAAGCATGATAACGGTGTTGTTTTTGGCCATAAAATTACGAACAAGCAATGATGAGTAAACAAGTGCTTGAGTTGTAAATGCCATGAATTGTTTTTCCATAACACTCATGATCATTCAACAATTCTTGAGCGATTCTCCATAACAATTTTCTTCAAATTTCATTTTATTAAAACACTCAAAACCTACATTTTTTGCAGACTAGAGTAGATAATTTCGAGTTCATGTCTACTGACATGATTCAATAATTACAAAATCTACCTGGAATTTCATATAACTTCAAGTAAGATCTACCCTTATTATCAATTCCATCGTTACCAAACAAAATAATGAAGGGCGACTAAACAAATATACTTGTTATCGATGTCATCGCCCTCACTTACATTTTGTTTACATAGGATGACTTTCAATTTGAAATCTATACGTTCGGCTGAGTTGCTATTATGTTTTCAGAATACGAACCCAATTTCTCTCATAGACCCATCTGAACTTATGAGGCCAGAGCCGTTGTTTGCTTCGAAACCTGTTGGACAATTCAGAGACTACTCTGTAGATGAAAATGATCCTATCAAAGAAAGAGTGAGGAAGACCTACACGGATATGCATACAAACCAAACTTTCGACTTTGTGAAAGGTGAGGATCTGTAACATCTTTAAACAAACTTTTTCATGATTAGAAATTATTGTTGTTAGGAAATGATTAGCCATAACGATGTAAAAACAAAAAGTGATAAATTAGTTTCATTTCTTGTAGTTGTAAGGTACTTTGAAACTGTTGAACACCATTTTTAAACATAGCTAAAGAATTTGGAGAAAGACAGTTCTGATAGTCCTACTTATTATAAATAAATTGATGTTGAGAAGTACACTTTTGAAACGAACTTTCATTTATATGCTTCGGAAAAAGAAAATTTTCTTCAAAATAAATCAAACCCATCAATTATAATAATAATAATGTTTTTTGGTAACAGCAGTGAAAAACTCTCTCCGCGGCAAGTATCAGCACATACTTCGACAGATCTGGTCATCGGAACTGTCGGGGAAGAACAAAGTTGCTGCAACAAATATGCTTGCCGATCCAATCTTACTCTACTCGTTTGGAGTAGTGAAGTGGACTCGGGAGGAGCTGTATCAACTCGACGTAA